GTACGAAAAAGAGGGGAAAAAAAAGGGGGAGTAAAACAGAGGGGTATAAATAATGGGAATAAAATGAGGGGGATAAAAAATAGGAATAAATAATGGGGGGATAAAATGGGGGGAATAAATAATAGGAATAAAATGGGGAGGATAAAAAATGGGAATAAATAATGGGGGGGGGTAAAACAGGGGGGAGTAAAACAGAGGGGAATGAATAATGGGAATTAAATGGGAATAAAACAGGGAGGGGGAATAAAACAGGGGGGCTCAGGGGAGGGCTGGGCACGCCCTGGAGCCGCGGGGCAGAGGATTTGGGGTGAGCTCCCTCCCTGCCCCCCGGGGCTGGGGCACACCGGGCACACCAGGGCACACCGGGGCACACCGGGCACACCGGGCAGTGCCGGTACCTCTGCGGGGCGCCCCCGGTCTGACGAAGTAGGGCAGCCCCCTCACGGCGCGGCGCAGCTCCTGCTTCAGGGCCAGCATGTACTCGCCCTCCTCGCCGCCGGGCAGCGGCGCCGCGCGGCGCTCCAGGGGCTGGGCACGACACGAAAAATGATATTTTGCCTAGAAAAGGTACCTGGACTGTCCCTAACTCTTTGTTTTTATTGTCCCGTATTATCCCAATCCAAATTATCCCCATTTTTACTACTCTAATTATATTACTATTTTAATAACAACTTTATTCCTGTTAACAAATGAACTTTTTTGTTATGCATAAATTCCATTCATAAATGTATGCATAAATCCTGTAGGAATATGCAACAGGCTGTTGCTTTTAAGGGTTAATCCTGTGTTAATGAGGGTCCTTTTTTGGGTTTATTTTGCCTAGAAAAGGTTCCCTCTACTAATCTTTGTTTTAATTGTCCCTAACTCTTTGTTTTCATTGTCTCCTATTGTCCTAATACAAATTATCCACATTTTTACTACTCTAATTATACTACAATTTTAATAACAACTTTATTCCCGTTAATAAATGAACTTTTTTGTTATGCATAAATCCTGTATGAGCTGCAGGAACATGCAACAGGCTGTTGCTTTTAAAGGTTAATCCCCTGTTAATGAGGGTCCTTTTTTGGGTTTATTTTGCCTAGAAAAGGTTACCTGGATTAATCTTTAATTGTCCCTCTTTTTTTTTTTTTTTTGGTCTCCTATTGTCCCAATCCGAATTATCCACATTTTCACTACTCTAATTATATTACAATTTCAATAATAACTCTATTCCCGTTAACAAATGAACTTTTTTCGTTCCAATTTCCCCGTTTCCCCCCGGGGCTCACCGGGAAGAGCGGCGAGGGCTGCAGGGTGGGCGGCGGCAGCGCCTCCCCCTTCCCGATGCCCACGGCTTCCACGCTGAACGACATCTGCCCCCGGCCCCGGCCGCGGCCCCGGCCCGCCATACCGGCCCCGGTCTGCCGGGGGCACCGGGGGCACCGCCGTCGGTACCGGCACCGGCACCGG